TTTAGCAGCAAACACTAAAAATAAATTTAAATGAGTGGAGTGTGGTGGGAAGTTTCCTGAGACAGTTTTCTCATGAAGTGCTTCAGTGTACGTGACAGCATCGAGTCACACTAACTGCACGACTTCCCATCAGCACGTGTGACTCGGAGTAAATCCTGAAGCACTTTTGTGCTCGCTAAACATTTACCTGCTGAAATCAAAGCTGCTGAGTGATGTGCAGCTCAGAGGGAGCTGCTCACTGGGTGTCCACATACTTCTGATCATATAGCACACTGCCATCACCTGGCAGGAGGCAGGGAACCAGTCTGTAAAATCTGAAGAAAAGTGAATGGAGTCTGGTTGGCTTGTGTTGTCTCTCAGCAACATGGCAGCGTGTTCTGGAGGAGAGGAGCGTCTGAGACTCTGAAACATCTGGACCCGGACCAGGACCTGCACCAGCTGCTGCAGGTGTGTGTGTGTGTGTGTGTGTGTGTGTGTGTGTGTGTGTGTGTGGTTAAATGTGACTCAGGTGTGCTGCTGCGTCCTCAGGACAGCTTCTCTGTGTCGGACAGTCCGGTGTGGATGGACTCGAGCAGCACTCAGCAGTGTGAGGACCTGCAGGCGGCAGCAGGAGGCGCTCTGAGGCTGGCGGAGATCACCGGATCCAGAGCCTACGAGGTCCAGCTGTGCCACATCTGTGTGTGTGTGTGTGTGTGTTAAAGAGCTTTAAAGGACGCGTCCGTGTGTTTGCAGCGTTTCACAGGAAACCAGATCGCCAAACTGCGTCAGACCCGAGCGGAGGAGTTCCAGGACACCGAGGTGAGAGCACCACTGCACCTGCACAGTCCCACCTCCAGCTGTTTCCTCACACCTCATGAACATGTGTGTTTTTGGTTTCAGAGGATCTCATTGGTCAGCAGCTTTGCCGCCTCTCTCTTCCTCGGTGGTTACGCTGCCATCGACTACAGCGACGGTACGGTTTGTGTGGCTCGTCGCTCTCTGAGGGTCTCTCACCCATCAGCTAATCAATGAACCCACTGATCGATTGTTCAGGCTCAGGGATGAATCTGCTGGACATCAGGACCAGAAACTGGTCTGAGATCTGCCTGCAGGCCAGCGCTCCTCACCTGGACCAGCTGCTGGGAGCTCCACTGCCCTCCACATCTGTGCTGGTAAGCAGAATGTTTTCATGGGGTGGCCACACGGGGGCACTAAAAGTGTTCAGGTGTCACAGCAAAAACAGAATTTACAGTTTTATTATAAACATGATAAAATAGGTTATTTGAGAAATATGTCAAAAA